GGGAAACTAGCTCGAATTGCTCGAACACATCATCAGTTTTCCCATTTAAATGAATGGAACATCGATGCTTACTTTCTGAAAAAATGCTATCCAACTTGTCCCCAGAAATATACTGGCTGAAGAAAACAAGAGTACCTATCAATATTCAATGTATGTGAAAACTCTGTTCACAAATGGGTTAGGCTTTCTCTGTGGACAAGGCTCTGCTTTTTTTTTTTTTCTCTATATTCTTTCTCCAAAGGCAGTGAGAAAATCAAGTGATAAATGGTTGCTGCATGACTAAAGGAAAACTTGAACACCATAGTTGGGTTTAAGAATTTAACTATCATAATTACATTATACTGGGGCCAGCAGGTGGCATGGTGGTTAAGGGCACTGGATTCCCACATGGCCAACTGTGGTTTGAGTCCCAGACCTGGCAGTTTGCTTTCTCATTTTCTTTCCCTCTCTCTCTCTCTCTCTGGTCAAATTAAAAAAATAACAATAACAAATGGAATTAATTAAATAAATACAATTTAAAAATTACATTATACTTACATTTTAACAATTTTATTATCTTAAATATTTTGTATCGATATCAAATAGTTTTGTTTTTTGGTTTTCGTTTTTGAGAGATGTTTGCTATAGGGTACATGCACTTGCTGGAGAGATAGAGGTAGAGAGAGATAAAGTGAGAAATCATCCCCCAGGGGAGATGCCCAGCCACAGTCCCTTCTCCTCTATTCTCGTCTTGGGATTTTGGACACACATGCACATGAACCCAGTGTGAGTTTCATTCCACCAGATCCAGGACTCAAACTGCAGACAGCTATGTGGGAGTCCAATGCCTTAACCATCACAACACCTACTGGCCCCATATATTTTACATAGTTTAATAAATTTGGCCAACCACTAAGTTAGTAAAATGAGTGAGCAATTCTAGGAAGTGATTTTGTTTTTAAAAAATAAAATTTCTGTGTTAGTTTGTTGTACATAATTTTATAAACTAGCAATGATTAGATAACATGACCTTAAGCACTAGATATAAATTGCTGGTGTATCATACGATTGCCAAAACAGGCTAGTATGATTTCTTTAATTTTCTTTAACTTTATTTATTTATTTATTTTAATTTGACCAGAGAGGAACAGAGCGAGAGAGCAAGAGAAAGGGAAAGTGAGAAAGCAGACCACCAGGTCCAAGACTCAAACCATGGTCAGCCATGTGGAAGTTCAACACTTTCAACCACCACACCATCTCCAGCCCCAGTTAGTATGATTTTTAAAAGCTGTGTAAAACAAATAGGCAACAATACATTGGTTCGATTCCATGAATATTTTATTATGAAGAATATAGTTCTATGTACGGAAAATATTATTCCAAAAATAAAAATCTAGCATTCCCTAAACCATTGACGTGTATGTACATCAACTC